AGCACAGGACACAGGTTTTCTTTACTTTTTGAAAGGTTTTTGTACACATAAATTTGTTATTTTGTCACAACATAACCAAGCAAATGAAGACACTGTGACAGGTTAAAAAAACAGAGCTCCTTAATTACCTAATGTAACATGTGCCACATACAATAAATATATCAAAATGCTATAAAAATCAGCCATGGCCATAATCTTGTGTGCTCACAATGGTAATCAGAATGGTGTTTAAATGCTTCCAAGGCTTCTTGAACTCTGGCTTGTACAATTACCGCATGTGACTATAAAACATGCAACTTCCAAAATGTTTCTTTAGCAAGACTTTTGGCTATTGTAAAACTAAACAAACTAAAATACACAATAGTTTCCTCTGATAAATGTAGGCACACAAACATACAACTTCCACCAAGTCAAACTGAGTAGCAGCCACAGATAGTACTGTTTTTTTTCCTGCTGTACAAAGGAAGACAAATCTCTACATGAAGGCTAAAAATGACATGTTATATGTTTCTTAAGAAAAAAGTCATGAATCAGTACAACAACATATTTACTTGTATTTGCCCATTCCTAAAAGCAAATAAGGGACAATTCAAATCCCATCAATTCTTCAGTGCATCTTCAGGATTTAAAAATCCAATTCGATTTCATTTTAAAATGTTATCCTGCAAAATACGGGAAACAATGTAGAGTAAATAAACACTATCAGAAAATATATTATGTTCATAAAAATGTTTCACTGGTAAAACAAAACAGAGACATAAACTAATGGTACAATCCTAAGAAGGGGATAACTAACTTCTCCATTACAAGTTTTCAGGTTACATAACAGTTTAACCTTATTACATGACATTTAAAACAGTACAGATGCAGTCCAGGTTCACTGGCTCAGCTGAACTCTTCACAGAGGAAGAATCACACTCCCGGGGAAGAATCTCACACAAACTACTGAAGATAAAGAGCTACTTGGGTTTTTACGCTAGATGCTCTTACTAACACATCCACAAAGGGATCTGTAGTGGCTGCATTTTGTTAAGATGGTTTCTGCTATCTAAAAGGGGATGAATGTCCCAGCATTAGAATGGTTTATTAATTTTATTCCTTAAAGTCAGATGATCTAAGTAGGATATGATGTTTGGCATAATTCCACATTTGATCTAATAATATCTAACAGCAGCAAGCTCATTCAACCGTAGCTTACACTGCTGACCTTATTGGTTGGGTCATGCTATCTAAATACTTCTTTTCCTGAGATCACCAACATTTTTCTACGTCAACTCAGACTTTGTTATTTCAACAGAACAGACTAATCAAAGTGAAGTCCAAACACTGACTTATAGCAACCACAGGACAAGAGACTCCCTGGAGATACACTTCATGATACTGCTCAGTTATTGTCATTAGCATTAGCAATTAACATACAGAGACACTATAAAACACTACAACTCACAAATGATCTAGACTGTTTTTCATCAGAAAAAAAAGTGCCAACTTACCCTTGTTGATGTGAAGCAGTTAGAGCAAATACTGATCCATACGGAACTGACAAATTAACCACAAAGCCAGTCGCTTGTCACTACTCCACAGCAGACAGAAAACGTTGCGTATGAATTGACCCAAAAGTAGCCCTCTCTAGCTAAGTACCATGTTAATATATACATACATATAAACATAAACAGTTGCTGATTAGATAGGAAGCTAGCAAGTACTAATTACTTTTACAGAAAAAATGGATCAGCAGAAGACAGCAGCACCATATCTAAGATCAACCATATCTTAGAAAGAAACAAACAGGTGGACTAGCATTTCTGTACTTTATCCGGGGGTTAAAAACCTTTAACCAATGCAAGACATAATTAAAGAAGATTAATTATGTCTGCAAGTTTGCAAGCATTCCGAGTTATTATGGCTGTTTTAGGGTTGATAACAGTGTATTTCTTATGCCTTTTCTAAAATTTCTTTCCTTTCTCGTATGTCTTTCTACCAGCAACCTCTATAAATTTAAGAGGGTCATTTTTAGACAGCAGGTAACAAATGGAATGTTAGTAGTTATTTGCAGCCAGCTTA